TGGTAGAAAGATTTTGGCTTATATGGGACTTATTTGTGTCGAATTTCATCGCTATACTCGTACTTCTAAATCAGTTATGCCCGTTAAAGCTGTTTTTTGGAAGTCTACTTGTATGGGGGCTATCCGAAAACGTGGACCGATATTGCTCATTTTCAATACCGAACAAACCTTAGCAATAGAGAATATTTATTTAAAATTTTAACTGTCTAGCTCCTCCCTTGTGGGCCCTATCGTGATTTCAACAGACAGACGAACGGACATGGCTAGATCGCACAGTGGGGTCTCCCTGAACAAAACTTGGCATTAACTAAACTACAGTGTTTTGGTATAAATTATGGGTATCGATGGATAGAGGAAGTCCTCTAGATACGAATTAAAAAAAGAAAAAGTTGCACTTAATGCAACTTTTTTGCATAATTTTCAAAACAAAATTTTCCAAAATTTTATTTAAGTAATATTTTTATTACATTTATAAATACCCTAATTACTTTCGCGAAAGACTAAATTTAATGCATCTTCTGGAAGATTTCTGGATTTTTTTAGGGAAAGTTCTTTTTACAGTTATAAAGGGATCCGAAATAGTTAATAAAAAATTGAAAATATCTTTCATATTTTGTATTCGGCTGCATTTACGGGAATTCTGTTCTCGGTTTGTTCGTGGCTTCTTGAGCTTCTTCCGACATATCTGCTACGCTTAATTTTGAATTTTGTACAACTTTGCTGCTGTGAATTAAAATTGTATGTAAAGTTGGTGACATCCAAAACCAGTTATATTTTTCTACAAACAATTTTGCGGTTTTCGTACAAAAGTCTTTAAATTCCTCAATTTTGATTTTATGTTTTCCGGAAAGAACAGCCAATATTATATAAATATTTTTAATAATGTCGACGCCTAATTTGGTAATTCGTGCAGTAATCTCATAATTTTGAAAAAATCTTCGAGCTGTGTTGCCATCGTTATAGTTTCCAGCCCCAGGTTTGGGTTTATCTATATGAAGACCACACTCTTTTTTAAATTCCTCCTGTATTCTATTTTTATTGGCCTCCAAACTAACTTTAAACTCTCCTTTTGCCAGTCGTTTTTTTGAAGTAAGCCTATATGCTAGTAAAGATTTATAGTTTGAATTATACGAAGAGTAGTTTTATTTTCTATATTTTGTCACTAAAAATCGCTAACATGATAATATGTGGTTTACATACCGGTGTACTAGTCTTTAAAAACTTTTAAAGTGATACCAAACCCTCATGAGAGTTACTCTTATCGCGGATTTTTCCGTACAAATATATTCCGTCTAATAATTTTGCAAAACTTATTTACAGGAATATAAGACCAATAATGCATCAATCAATAGCACGTTCAGCCATTATTTTACTAGTTTCTACTATTTTACTTATTACTTAAATCAATTCATTTCGCATCCAATAATTAGATTTTAAATAAAATATAAATATTTTCATAGCATGGAGTGTTAGAAAAGAGAGCGTAAATGCCGCAGAGGCAAAAAGAGGCAAACATTGTTGTTTTGGTGTTATTGAGAAGATTTCAGAGTATCTTTAGCATATGGTCGCTTAGAGGCCATCAGTGGCCAAATTGTACTTTTTCACTTTTAAAAATTTAAAAAAAAAAAACATAAATATCTATAAAAAATTGCATTTTAAGAAGTCGTTAATAATAGTCGTTAATAAGTCTCTGGCTGTAAAGATGATTTAAAATAACACCTTTTCATACATAACAATGGTATATTTGGTATCGAAAAAGAAAATTTTAAGAAATTTTATATTAAATGGTAGATTCGTACAAAAAATGTTATGGTATTAAATTAAATAAAAAATTTCTTGAAAAATATATATAAAAACATAAACTTTGCTGCATCATCTAAAGGCCTATACAATAAAAATGGGAAAACTAATGATAGCGTTATATAGAATATAGTCTTAGCTTTCCAGGCATATTAAATTTTTATCAAAAAACTCATTTCTAAATATTTACTTTATGCCAAGTTTACTTAAAGGAGACCCCAATGTGGATTGTCTTAAAATTAAATAAGGACCCTACAGTCCTTATTAATATTTCGATGTGTTACAAACGGAATGACAAAATCAATATACCCCCATCTTTTTTGATGGTGGGTATAAAAACAACAAAGGTGTTTTATTTAACCGTTATGTCAATACCCACACACCCGGGTATGTTTTTCATTTTTGAAGCGATATATCTCGAGATCTATATATCGTATCGGCTTGAAATTTGGTCTATGCTTTCAGAGTAAAGTTTTCTATACAATTTCCAAAAATTAGTATATATACAGTGAACTAGCGGTAATGTGAACATCCAATATAATGAACTATCCCCTAATGTGAACACTCAGTTTTTTATATGGGCGCTCTAAATAGTGAACAAAGTTTAAATAGTGAACAATTTTTTTTTTAATTTTTGGGCATTTTTTAATTTGTAGAAGCATTTATTTTTAATGTTGGGAATCCCCGAATCAATAAATACCATAGTATTCCATTATTTTAAAGGTATTTAATGCTAGTAGCTTTATGTAACTTGTTGCGGTAGGTTCGTGAATTTATTTTTAAAATTAGTGATGTCTAAAAACAGTCGAAAGTTTTTATCCTTAAATGAAAAATGCGAAATTTTGGAATATTTAAAAAAAGGATCGAGTGTTACAGTGCACAGTGGGGCAGAATGGAAATTTTTTGGAAATAAATCTGGCATTTCTAAACGGCTGATCCGATCGGGATAAAATTTGGCGTGAGCGTAGCCAAGGAGTATTCGAGTTTAAGTTTTGAAGATGAACCCTGCAGATGCCCCAGGGACGGCGCTGTGGCGGCTCAAAGTAGGGTACCTACGACATGTAAAATTTTTAAACTCGTGCCATTTTTTTGTTTTTCACCCAAATACAAAGATTTTTATATTTTGTGAAAGCGCTCGACGAGATCTTGAAAAAACATGCTTGGACATACTACTTATCTCTTATAATATCCGAGTTATAGGCATTTAAAAATTTAGTGATACAAAATTTACCATACCTTGGTCCGCCTTTTTTTGAATAAAGGGCGTAATTTTGGACCAAATGGACTCAATTTTTTCTTGTTAGTTAAAATTTCAGATCAATATTGTTTACAGATCCAAAAATATACGTTTTTTAATTTAAAAATTCAAAAAATTTTAGATTTTTGGCGTTTTTTTGCCAAAAATGTGTCTTAACTCTTTTATTAATAAAATAAAATTTTTATTAAGAACATATAACAATTTTATAGTTTTCTAAAAGGTATCTTTACGCAGAACGCTTTGGCGTAAAAAACTTGTCCTATTTTTTGAAAATGTTGCCACTGCGTCCTTCCGAATATGACCTATTTTTTATCAAAACTTCAACTTTGGGCGACATGTTCTAAAATCCCAAAGCTGGGATCAGAAAACTGAAAGCAGTTTTGGAAACCTCAATATGTTTTCTATTTACTCCAAAAGTATTTTCCCAGTCCTGAAAGAAATGTGGACCCTATGGGCAAAAAAGTAAAAAATCCCATTTTTGGGATTTTCATTCCTATTTTTGGGAATTGCGGGATGCCCTTTGACCTTTTAAAAATTTTTTTTTTTGCATATTCTTATTTGAAATGACAATTTTAACAAGCGTTGAAAATTTCATTGAGTTTTGTTCATAAATAAAGATTTTGTCATATATTACATATTTGTTTAATTTCTAAAACTATGATTTATATCAAAATTTTAATAGGATCGCAGATAGCTACAACAATTTAGTCCATATTTATCCCTTAATATCATTTTTTAGTTAGATATGGAAATTCTCGACCCTTTACAAAAAATTTCAAGCCAATATTTCAATTACATTCAAAAATATGTTCATTTAAACCTGTGTCCTTTAATTTCATCTTTTTCATATTTTAGTATTAAGTATGACATAACATACATTTGGTGTTGAATAAAATATTTGGACAATTTTTAAAAATTATTTAGTTAATTATTTTATTATAATATTGTAGATAAAATAAAAAAAATTATAATTTTATTATGAGCCACGCACAACAACACCTAAATCACCCCACACAAATTACCTTTCCCGCCCACCGAAATATAAAACACAATTTAATACAATATCATCAGTTAGTATAATAGCTTTTTTTATTTGAACTGTTTTTCAAGATCTCGTCGAGCGCTTTCACAAAATATAAAAATCTTTGTATTTGGGTGAAAAACAAAAAAATGGCACGAGTTTAAAAATTTTACATGTCGTAGGTACCCTACTTTGAGCCGCCACAGCGCCGTCCCTGGGGCATCTGCAGGGTTCATCTTCAAAACTTAAACTCGAATACTCCTTGGCTACGCTCACGCCAAATTTTATCCCGATCGGATCAGCCGTTTAGAAATGCCAGATTTATTTCCAAAAAATTTCCATTCTGCCCCACTGTGCAGTGTTAAGTAAAAAGTATAAAGTTGCAAAATCAACGATATGTTCAATAAAAAATAAAAAAGACAATATTTTAAAATGTGTGAACAATACGTTTTATGGACCCGGAAAACGCAAAACATTACGATCTTCAGAGCTTCCAAAAATAGAAAAATCGCTCTATAAGTGGTTTATTTGCATGCGGAATAAAAACCTTCCTGTAAGTGGGTTGATGTTGAAAGAGAAAGCCAAACAAATTCACAAGAACATAAGTGAAAACGGAAATGACTTCAATGCTAGCGATGGGTGGCTACAAAAATTTAAAAAGAGATACGGATTTCGGCTCCTTCAGATAAGCGGTGAAAAACTTTCTGCGTAATCTCAGTTCGTAAATCCTTTTAAAATTAAATTGAAAGCAAAGATAGAAGATTTGGGTTTATCCAATGATCAGTTGTATAATGCCGATGAGTTTGGTCTATATTGGAAACTTCTCCCACAAAAGACATATGTAACGTCATTGGAGAAAAGTGCTCCAGGTGCAAAAATGGAAAAGCAAAGGATAACATTTTTATGCTGTGCAAATGCGTCAGGATCTCATAAAATAAAACTTTTAGTAATAGGAAAACCGAAATTTTATCTGTCCCGTAAACTACAGAAATTCAAAGTCTGCTTGGATGACTTCTTCCATTTTTAAAGAATGGTTTCACAACTGTTTTGTGCCAGAGGTAAGTAAACATGTAAAAATAGTTCAATTGGGATTCTTACTTTTTTATTTTTCATTAAGGTGACAGATTTTTTAAAGAAGAAAGGATTACCAGTAAAAGCTTTACTCCTAATAGATAATGCCCCATCCCAGCCACCAGAATCCGACCGATGGTTCCATAGAAGCTATGTTCATGCCTCCAAATGTAACGACTCTGATCAGCCAATGGATCAAAATGCAATTAGAATCACCAAACTTCATTATAAGAACAGTCTTCTGGCAACAATTATTGCAAAAGAGGGGGATTTGCTTGAATCGATGAAAAAAATCACACTTAAAGAAGGAGTTTCTTTTCTAGAGGCATCCTGGAACCGAGTTGGTAAAAAAAACTTTATCTAACTGTTGGAAAAATATTTTGAATATGGTAAATGATGAAGACGATCCTGAATTTAATGTTTCTTTGAGCGTTTTAAAAGAAAAGTGGCAATCAGAGGTTAGATCTTTAGAAAATACTGCTGCAGATCTTCTACAGACATTGTGCCCTAGGAAGTATTTACTGCTGTAAACATTAGAGATTGGATCAATAATCCTTGTGTGGACGTCACAACATTTGATGAAAATGATTTAATTGAAGAGTCCGACGATGATGACGACTGTTTTATTGAAGCGCCTGAAAACAAAATTAAAGCCAAAGATGCTGTCGAAATTTTTAACAAAGCTGTCCAATGGGCTGAATTTCAAATGGTCGATCAAACTGACATTAAAAAGATTATTTCCATATTTAATTATATATGTATGTACCTATCTTTTTTCATTGTAAATTTTATTTATTATTTTGTGGTAATATTTTGTTTGTTTTTTATGTACATACTAAGAATGTACTCATTATAAAATGGATTTTTAAAAACCTTTTATGTTCCAAATAAATTACAAAAAGTTTTTTTAGTAATCTTTGCATTTTCACTCCTTGCAGAAATGATTTTTAGAAAGAATAACTTAGTAATATACACTATCTACTACAAAATAAAGTGCAAAAGTACTCATATATATTCTTTCAGCGAAAAATCGGTTAAATGATTATTGAATATGGATTTTTTTTCCAAAATCATTTAGTTTATATACAATGCTACAAATATATAAATATAATCGGCACCTTCCCAATTTTGAATATGACAGCTTTAGAGGCGAAGTAAGCCCTACCTTTATTCTTGGCTCGACTAGCCACAGATTTCTGGTCGATACCTATTGCAAATAAAGTTCCCTCAGGTTCTTCTTTCCTGTAAAAGACATCCCATTTTTCCACGGCCTGCTCAGCATTTTGACCACCAAGAATTTCCAATATACGTTCATTAGCCAGTTTACTGCCCCATTCTTTTATGTAGATAGTGGACTTTAAGAGCACCGGAAGCTCGCTCTTCATTGTCAGTCCCAGCTTAGCGCCGTCCCAGGGAGGAGGGATACTTTCCACCAAGTTCTTTAGGGTGCTAACACATTGGTGAGATGCCAACCTCATCAACATCACGCCCATGCTGAACTCGCAGCTCACGTTCTCTATTGGTTGTTTGCCCTTTGAAGCGATTGCATGGTCCACTATTTTATTGTTCACCAGATCTTCTACTTTACTCTGTTGGTCTATTGGAATTTTGCCTGTCGGATTACCGGCATCGTAAACTGCATAGCAGAGATCGTCCCGGTGTCTTCTTCTGACAATTTTGGCGGCTCTTTTCCTTTTCCACTGTCTAGCCTCTCTTTCCTCGCTTTTCGGGACTTCTTTTGAGATACCCGTAACTATCTTGGCGTTTTCACCCTTACTCTCAGGGTTCTGACTTGAGGTTCCTTTGAGTGAAGTATGGCTTGGCTTCGTATTAGAAGACGGGGAGCTCTCCAGAGATTCCGGTTGTAACACATCAAAATATTGGTTACAAAAGTATATGTATATATTCTGGATCCTTATTAATTTCTAAGACGATCTAGCCTAGCCCTATTGCAGCAATTTCTTTGGTATTGAAAATCGATAATATCGGCCGAAGTTTTCACCTGGCCACCATACAAGTTGCCCCCGAAATACATTTTAAACAGACTTTATACGAAAATAGCGACGAAATTCGACAAAAAGAAGTTCCATATGACCCAAAATCTTTTACCCCCATATATCCCCTTCAGAAAGATACTTTAACGCTCTTACTGGCTTAAAAATACGAGCACACTGAAGCAATTCGATATAAACAGGATGTATATAAAACAGAATCGGTCTACCAAATTTTACGAGGATCGGTCCATAATTGAACCTACCCTTCACATATAAAGCCACCTTCAGAATGTTACGAGAACAGCGATGAAAATCGACATAAAAAAGCTTTATAGGAACATAATACTTCATTCCGAATTTGATGAGGATTGATCTATAACAGATCATAGTCCCTGTATAAGGTTTCCTTCAGGAAAGGTTTTACTTATTTAAAATACGAATATTCTTTATTTAAAAGTACGACAATAGCGATGAAATTCGATAGAAACAAGTTCTGTACAAAACAAAATTTTACGAGTATCGGTTCATAATTGACCCTACCCGCATATAAAGTCCGCTTCAGAAAATAACTTTTACTCTTATGAATAAATTAAAAATACGAGTACAGCGATGGAAAAAATAAGTGTTATACGATAGAAGTCTTTCAACTAAATTTTACCACAATCTTTCATGGCTGAATTAAGAACAAATTAGAATTTTTTATAGTACACTAGCTATACCCAGTGTGTTTACCAGATGTACTAAATTTTGTATTTAATTCATATGTATTTATTTTAAAAGCACTAAAAACAGTGCTAAAAGCACTAAGTTGAGAACTCTGCTTAAAAGTCACAATGTAAACATTCAAGATTTTACGAAGGGCATTTAAAAGAAAATTGAGAAAAAAGCATGCCTGAAAAGTCTCAATCTAAAACAGAATTTAAATTGAAAATTATTAAAAGACACATATATTCATAACGGTATTCATTTCGTATTCATAACAAATTCATTTCAAAACAAGTTAGAGTGCTATATTCGGCTATGCCGAATCTTAAATACCCTCCACCAGCAAGCTACTTTTTATTGAAAACCCATTTAACAATCTAATTTTTAGATAACTTGGCAAAACTTTTGTTTCCGTATGCGGGTACTAACATTTATGCATATGTCAAACTAATTTTAATTATGTCGAGTTATATGTATATTAATAGGCCAGTTTGAAAACATTTTAATATATTGATTTATCTGTACACAGAACATACTCATTTTGAATTTTATCCGGATGTAATTATTTAATTACGAATTAAGTGATTTTCAGAAGTATACCTTATATGGGAGCTAAGACAATCTATGGACCGATCTGGAAAAAAATTCCGTAGAATGATTTATATATACAAAATACACATTTATGTCGAATTTTATCCCGATAACTTTGATCGTCAATGTGCATTTGAGTAATTTTCGGAAAGGGTCCTTATATGGGAGTTGTGACCAATTATCGACCGGTAAGGAAAAAATATGCCAAAAAAATCAAGTCGAATTTTACTACAATAGATTTATTAATTAATGAAATATTTGTGTTTATATGTATTTGTGTAAGGTTTGGTAGAATGATTTATATGTTTACAAAACATATTCAAGTCGTACTTTATCCCGATAGCTTTATTATTCATAGGAATATATGCGTTTAACTGATTTTCGCAAGTGGACCCTCTATGGGAGCCTATCCGGAAAAAAATTCGTTGAGTGATTCATATAAAGACAAAACATATTTGTGTCGAATTTTATCAATATAACTTTATTTGACAATTAAATATATGCGCTTAAGTGATTTTCGGAAGTGGGACTTATATGGGAGCTATGGTCATTAATGGACCGATCCGGGAAAAAAGTGGTAGAATGATTTATATGTACATAGAATATATTCAAGTCGAATTTTATCCTTATAGTTTTAGAATTTAATGAAATATCTGCGTTTAAGTGATTTTCGGAAGTGGACTTTATATGGGGGCTATGACCAATTATGAGACTATCCGGAAAAAATTTCGTAGAGTGACTTATATAAAGACAAAACATATTTGTGTCCAATTTTATCAAGATTGCTTTATTTGACAATGAAATATGTGCTTTTAAGTGATTTTCGGAAGTGGGCCTTATATGGGAGCTATGACCAATAATGTACCGATCCGTAAAAAAATTGGTAAAATGATTTGAATATACACAAAACATATTCTTGTCGAATTTTAATGGATCGATCGGTAAAAAATTTGTAGAATGATTTGTATGTATACAAAACATATTTGTGTCGAATTTTATCCCAAAAGCTTTATAATTCAATGAAATATATCCGTTTAAGTGATTTTCGGAAGTGGACTTTATATGGGAGCTATGACCAATTATGGGCCTATCCGGAAAAAAATTCGTAGAATTATTCACATTTAGTCTAAACATATTTGTGCCGAATTTTATCAAGATAGCTTTATTTGACAATGAAATATGAGCTTTTAAGTGATTTTCGGAAGTGGGCCTTATATGGGAGCTATGACCAATTATGGACCGATTAGGAAAAAATTTCGTAGAGTGATTTATACATACACAAAATGTATTCATGTTAAATTTTATCTTGATAGCTTTATTTATCAGTGAAATATGCGCGTTTGAGTGATTTTCGAAAGAGGGCCTTATATGGGAGCTATGACCAATTATGGACCTATACTAATATACGTTGGTAGTATGATTTTTGTTGATATTTTATTTATATGTGCAAAATTTTGAGTTGATACCAATATATTTGAGGAAGTTATAAACTATAAATCCATTTCCGGAAATATGTACCTTTGTATGGGGGCTACGGGAAATTTTGGATCGATTGTTTTGATTTTCAACATAATTGATCCCTGGGTAAAAAAAATAATTTGTGACAAAATTCATCGAATTATCTTTTGTAGTTTCTGAGAAAACGACTTAAGAATTACGAAAAAAACGTAATTTTTTTCGAGGTAGTCTGAAACTTTTTCTCATAACTTTTAACGTTGTGAACCGATTTTACTAATTTTCAATATTTTTTGGTGAATTTGGTTTATTTCTTTTGCTTAGTTTTAACGTGAGCGTGTTTTAGGCAGACAGACAGACGGACAGACAGACGGACATAGCTAAATCGACTCAGAATTTCATAAGGATCAAGAATATATATACTTTGTTGGGTCTCAGATGAATATTTCTAGGTGTTACACACGGAATGACAAACTTATATATACCCTCTATCACCACTGATGGTGGTGGAGGGTATAAAAATACGATCCACAAGTGCAATGGCAGAACAAAAGAGACCCAAATATACAAGAGACCCAAATTGGAAAACAGCTACTCAAATAAAGAAGACCCAACAGCAACGAGTAAGTACAAAAAATCAAATACAATAAAGAGAAACACAAACCCTTTAGTGTGTGGGTTCGCTCTTAGATTTTTTTGTAGCTGTAAATAAGAAGTAGGAAAACGAACAGGGTTACCACCCATATTTTTTTTTTAATAATTAATGGGGAAATAAAATACCTTCAAATTAATAATTAATCTGGAAATTAATTATAATTTTTGATTACTCTTGTTGTAAAATTGCTAGCAGGGACTATTCTTGACCCAATTTTAACCCTTATTTTTATCGGTTTGTATTTTAAACCACAAAAACAATCGCACTCGATAAATTTGTAAATTGTACAAATGACCTTTTGGATTTTGAAATAGAGTTTACCCAAAGCACGGCAAAAACAACATTCACTCCCTTGAGGTACTTCGGGTCGAACTTGATTTTCTATGGTCACAAGTCAAAAGGGCATATGATGAGTGTAGGGACACAAAAGAAGATTCGAAAAAAATCCATTGATAAAAATAAGCTTCGCGAACGTTACATACAAACGTTCTGCATACAAAACATGCTTAGTGTCAATCAACGTAGAAA